GGTTCGACTCACACAGAACAGACCTTATATGGTCTGGTCGGAGGCTAGGTATAGCCTAGAGGATACTGACTGGACCTGTAGAGCCTGCCGACAGAGAGAGAAGGTGGTGCTGGGTGGCTGGAGGCTGCCGACTAGTTTATGCTGCCGACAGAGAGAGGAGGAGGTAGGGGAGAATGGGTTAGGGTTTTGGCTCTGATACCAAGAAGAATTGTGTAAAATGGCTTACCTATAATGAGGTGAGACCACGTACTAAAACAGTATTTACAGAATAGGAAATAGAATCAATCAATTACAATGTAAGAGGCAAGAAATCCGTGATTAGGAAATCACAGACTCTATTCTAACCTGTATTAAAAATTAAATATACTATAAATAAAACATTCCAGCAGTAGCTCAACCTACACTACCACCAGTAAGTATTGATGGTGGATTTCAGCTGAAGCCAGTAGCTAATTTGGACAGGCACATGGTTAAAAGAAACAACAAGGCGGTTGTGCAACTCTTGCTCCAATGGTCTTAATCTTTTCCAGAAGATGCCACTTGAGCTGACTATGATGAGCATGAGCACATATCCAAATTTCCAGATTTCCAGATTTCCAGACTTGAGGCCAACGCTGTTTAAGGGGGAGGGAATGTGATGATCTGGGAAGAAATTAGCCATTCTTTAGCTCATTGTAATTCAATTGTAACCAATTTTTGAATATTGTTTTGGAGGGAGAGTGTATTAGTTGTTGTGAAACTTGTTAAAGATCCTGTTAGGCTGTTAGCAGTAAATGAAAGGCATTCCAAGCTGGAATGAGAGAGAGGAAAGGTGTGCATTGTAATATGATATTTCTTGTTCTGGTATAAGAGAGCAGCTCTGCTTGACCCTGTTTCTTTTCTTTTTTCATTTTAGCTTTCTTCCATAGCTGTAAAATTTCATCTTAGCAAATCTCATCCATCCAATCATAGCAATCAAAATATTCTTCAATTGAACCAAGCCAATTACAGAACACCATAGGATCATCCCTTCCTTCAAAATTCAGAACTTCTTTGTTATTGGATATTGTGGCACACAGGATCTCCCACTTTGTAAGAACATAGTGGTGAGACCTTAAGCTCTGATACCAAATGGATGTAGGACAGTGCTGTGAGACTTTAAAGCTGAATTTCTGTGGGGTTTTTATAGCGACTTCAAGCTACAAAGTAATGGGAAATTTAGGGCTTCTACTAGTGTGTGGAAGAATTATGGTTAGGGTTTAATGTAATAATAAGGAAGATTGAATTTTGGGACTGTTTTGGGTGATGTGACCCATGAACAGTAATTGGGTTGTGAACGTGTCGAAATTTAAGAAAGAAATAGTGGAAAAGAAGAAGATAAGTCTAGAAATCACTCCTAAAATCCCTTAGGCATCACATCTGTAATGCCCCAAATTTCTAGCCCAAATGATAATACAACAATCATGGCTCTTTCAAGGAAAACTGAATATAAATCTCCAAACTTATATTACATGATATAATAGTTCTTCATGCAACAATACATTAATCCAACAAGTAAATAAACAAATAAATACTCCCAAGGATTTACAAGTTTCCAAGGCTTGAGTCTGGTTACACAAAACGGTTATTCAAACCCACACACATGCAGCCCTTGGCTTACACATAGAGTCACAGTAAAATGAGAGTCTCGTACTCTCAACACACATTTCCTCGCCTTTAGTTAGGCGGCATCACTACATTTTTTCTTGCACAAAAATCCCGTAGGGTGAGCATAAAGCCCAGTAGAAAATCCTTAACAAAGTATATACATTTTATACAAGTCTCAAGAGATGAAATGCACATGCCATGCTATGCTATGCCCTTTTTTGAAGGTAAATCACATTTTCATCTTTTGAAAACCATCATGCTCAATGATGTCATACAATTTCAATTGTTCAAAACTTAACAATTTATTTCAAGGGCGGTAAATATGACTCTGGTAATCCCTAGGTCGATGTTTGTAAGTAGACTATACAAGTACTACCAAATTGTTATTTTTACCGGTATTAACCGGAAGGCTCAACACCTATCCGCGCGGGTTTTCGGTCTTTCAGCCCGGATTCTCAGGCTAACTTATTCAATATCATCTACACCACCTATCAAGACTTACCAACGTATTTACCCCAAAATCATTTCATGAAAACTTGTTTCTTAACATTCTTTTCTTAATGCAAGTTTTCAAATCAACTTTCAAAGTTTAATGTAATCAAATGAATTGTTATGCCAATAACATAAGATGAATATAAATACTTTTATTCTAATTCAGCATCCAAAGAATAACACAATTCCTTATTCTCAAGTATCCTCAACAATTAGTCATTTCAAGACTATTTTAACGTTTTGAACAATAATTTTCAAAATAAACAACAATTCTCATATTCTCTGAAATTCGTCATTTATATAAATATAAATAAGAAATTTTTCAAACATCCATTTATTTTGACACACAAAATAAATACAACAATATCATTCATGGATTTTCAGTCTCTTTTAAAAAAATTCTCAAATTTTAGGTTTTCTCACCAAAACTATACAACTCAAATCTTTTGAAAGAAAACTTTCCAAAATCATCTTTTCTTCAATCAACGAAGATCAAAACCCATAAGATCATTTTAAAAGAACAAGAGACAAATCCACTTTCAAAATCGTTTAACTTCTTGAATCAACAATCAATTTTCAAAGCTATCGAAAGATGATTTCGAAAATCATATAGATCTTGTAAAAATATATATATAACTCTAAGAAAATCCCTACCTCAAGTTTTGAAGAAGAAATGAGATGAAACCCCCAAAATCAACGGTGTCGAAACTCGATCTTCACCGCACACAACGAAGCCCTTGAAGTGATAACCAACTTTGGTGAAGAACTTAGGTCTAAATCCCAATGGATTTGGAGAAATCAAAGAGAGAAGATGACTTCTAGAGAGAGAAGATGCCGATCTGGAATTCTGGAGAGTTTTAGAGAGAGAGAGGACTGAAAAAGTGATCTGAAATATCAGATTCACGAACTGATATAACATGGTCCGCTCGAGCGTGGAATGCCTCGCTCGAGCGTCAAATACACTAACCCAGCACTTTTGCAGACAGGTCAAACTTCTAAAACCAAACATTCTTCGCTCGAGCGCATAAACGGCCGCTCGAGTGGACAAGCAACTTCGAATGCATTTTACATTTTTGCTTCGGGGGCGCTGCCCCTCGACCTCTTCCCTCAGACCCACCAAGGGGCACTGCCCCCTTGACCCCCGGGAGCTGACTGGGCAGCTCGATCCCCGACCGGCCCAGTCGAAGTGGCAAAACATGAAAGGAGGATTGAAACCGGGATCGCTACAACATCTAGGGTTAGGGGTTGGGTAAATTACAAATACAGCCTTTGAGGTTTACTTAAAATATGGATTGCCCCCGTGGTTTGAAAACTTACAAATACTCCCTTATTTGAATTTTTTATTTAATAGAATTAATTGAAAAAAATGAAATTTCTAACTATTCAATGATAAAATTTCCTGAAATATTAATTCAAATAAATTCATGACATCATTAAAAACTATTAATTGACTTAATGATTTATTAATAAAATTGGTCATTTGTTATGAAATTAGAAACTTCAAGGGCCAGAACCACAGGGGGCAAATCATATTTTAAACAAACCTCAGGCTGTGTATTTGTAATTTATCCTTAAGCGGTACATGGGGTTATATAGAATTAGGAGACTTCTTAAACCAGCTAGAATAAAAAAATGAAACAACTAAAATTAGTTGTGTTCAAATTATCTAGTAAATTGAACCAAACCAACCTCTTTGGGTTGGATTGGTTTGGTTTTTAAGTGCATTGTTTGGTTCTGGGTCTTCAAATCCTCAAACCGATAGGATTAGGTTTTATATATATATATATATTTTAAAATTTTATTTTATTGACATGTTTTCACTTAATTGGTCTATTACAATGGACTTGATTGCACTTAATAAATCTCACATTCAAGAATTATTAGGTGAATGAATGAAGTATTAGAATTTTGAGTTCAATTTCGTAATTGATTTAATTTATATTGGTTGCATTAATGGCTTTAATTTGTATTGGTTATGTTTAAGCTTGAGTTGGATTTAATTTGTATTAAACAATATTTTGCTCGTTGTTTGAGTTATATTTAAATTTTAAAGACTTGTTTATTTTAATTATTTATTATTTGATTGATTCACTTATTTTAATATAGTGGAACCGTGGTTCTAACCCGAACCAACCTAAGCTTCATTGGGTTGGGATGGGTTGGTTCTAGTACATGATTGATTTGGTTTTGAGCCTGAAAACTTAGAACCGGTCATGATTAGGTTGGTTCTAAATTTTGTGCCTAGACGAACCAAACCAATCCATGAACACCCCTAACTAAAACTTTTTTGACTTTCAAAACCAACTGAAGACCAAATAAGAAACATAAATAAAAACTAATTAAATAACTTGACCCATAAGACAACCCATGGGCAACCCACACAACCCATATCTAGAAATTCTGCAAATTACCAAAATACCCATAACCTTAAAATCCTAAAAACATAAATATAATCATAAAATAAAACTCTAATAATACTAGAAATATAATTATTCAAGGTTTTTATTAGTTTCTCTATGAAATCATGCCAATGTCCAGATAATCGCTTCTTTGAATTTAGCCTTCCTTGAGCTTCTTAAACTCTGCATAAAAAATTATTGTTATTGTTATTATTATATTTTAATTTTTAGTGGGTAACTTGCTTATGCTACTATGATTGTAATTTATTGTGATTGAATGATTTCTTGGACTTGTGCTATTGTTATTTCTTGGATCTCTGCATCAAAGATGTATGATTTACAATTTTACTTTATCACTTTTCAATCTTTGATGGAATGCAATTGTTATGTGAATGATGGAATATATAGGGCCATGCTGCTAACTTGGTCCAATTTATTATTTGGTTTTGTTAATGGAAATCAGTAACCTTGATCTACCCACAGATATCTGATATGGTGGCTGTGGCACGCATAATGAATGCAACCTTAGTAATTCCTCAACTGGATAAGCGCTCATTCTGGCAAGATTCAAGGTCACCTTGATTTCAGCTGCTATTATAACTGCTACTCTTTTTCCCCCTCCCTCCCCTCTCATCTAAGTCTTTTCATGTCTAATATTCAGTTTACCAGTACATATATCCCTACTTACACTTCCTATTTAACTGTTTTATATATATATATATATATATGTATTTACAGTACCTTTTCAGATGTATTTGATGAACTTCATTTCACCACAAGCTTACAAGGAGATGTGAGGATTGTGAAAGAGCTTCCTAAGGAATTAGAACATGTTCCTCGTGCAAGGAAGCATTTCACTTCTTGGTCTGGTATGAGCTACTATGAGGAGTTGACGCATTTATGGAAGGACTATCAGGTACATTATTTGCGAGCAATTTTGCAGTCTTAGTATTTGTCATGGTAGACAGATTCATGTGCTTGGTTAGGAAGTTATTAATTTTTCTAGCACTAATACACACATGCAGTCACACAAAAGAAAATAACTAAATAAAAATAAAAGGAGGCGGTGGAAAGAAGAAAGATTTTTTTTAAAAGAAATAAAAGTTACTGGCTAGACAAAAAAACTAGTTTGGGGGCATTTTGTTGTCACATGGAACAACAGCCATTTTAGATGAAGGGATAATGCCTTCACAATGTTTTCCCCAAGGAGTAAGGTTGAGCAATCAAACTAGAATTTTATGTTTGTTATTTATTGAAATAAATGAAAAAACCAATTTGAACCTAGACAAAGAGTAATCTGATTATCATGTTGTCTGAGCTTGAGGGATCATTTATCAATTCACTTTTTGCAGGTGGTTCATGTTGTAAAATCAGATTCCAGACTTGCAAATAATGATCTACCTGTTGATATCCAAAGGTTGAGGTGTCGTGCTCTGTATTATGCTCTCCGCTTCTCTCCTTCTATTGACAATCTTGGGAAGGTTAGAACTTTTGTCTCTCCAGCATTCATCTGCCAAATAAATTTGGAATCTAGTTCCAGTTACAATTGAATTGATTTTAACAAAATTCTGAATGCTCCTTAGAATTTTATTACAAATTTTGGGACTTCCTGTGTTGAATTGATAATGATTATAATCAATCAAACATTTGCCACCATGCATGGTTTTGGATCTATTACTCCATTTGAAATGGAATGACAAAATTTTGAAATCTCATTAGCATTTAAAACCTTACGAGGTTTGTACAGAATGTTGCTCCGAGTATGATGTAGGTGGTAATTTACTTTTAAGAGGCCTCCTACGGGGATATTCCTGTTAAATTAGGTTCTGAGAATACATGACAGTGACGCCGCAGAAGCTGGTGGAGCGGCTGAGATCCCGTGGGGGAAGATACATTGCTCTTCATCTGAGATATGAGAAAGACATGTTATCTTTCACTGGCTGTACTCATGGTCTTACTGACGCGGAATCTGAAGAGCTAAGAATAATGAGGTAAATATCTTGTATATATATATACGTGCAAAATTTTATTTATCAAAAAAAAAATCTTGTATGATGATATACCTATGTACAGATGTACGTATGTGATTTCATACATTTGTACATGTCTAGGCTATATGTTGACAAGTGGCAAAACTTCCTGCCTCTGCATTGGATGTAATGTATCTCCCCTTAAAGTAATCATCTATGCATAGAAAGTGGACCGGCAAGGTGCTCTTAGCATTCTTCCGTGGATCTACAAAGTTCCATATTACTGTTTGTTAGGTCCTTGATTGGCAATCCCGATTGAAAAACACAGTTTCCGTTGTATCTCTTCTCTTTCCTTGTATTGTTGTGAGTGGATGAGAGTTTGGAATCCAAATCCTATCTTGATTGATCACTCACTTCGCTCGAGCGGTGGAAGTTATGCTTGAGCGAAGTCATCTATCCCTCAAGATTTCTGTCTGAGTTTTCTTAGTACTGAAAAGCTGAGTTCACTGCTCAAGCATGAAAGTTGTGCTCAAGCAGTCACTGCGAGCAGAATTTGTTATAACCGCTTTATTCTCTCAGATCTGTGGTTGATTCACCTGGTTCTCTTTGGAAAGTGTGAAAAACACAGCCAACGAATTGTGAGTGAATTCTATGTTTCCCTTAATAATTCAAAGGAGATTTCATACATCTCTTGTACTTGATGGAGATATTGAGGGGGTATTCGATTGTGTTATCTTACATGCATTCAATCGGTGGATTCCGAGCAGATTAGTGATTGAGGATCTAAAAAGCACGGACACGGATATGGATGTGGACACGGGATACGGTGATTTCCAAAAAATGAAGACACAGCAATAAAATATGTTTTCATATATATATATATATATATATTTTTTTTTTCTATCTAAATTAATATTACATCCACAAATAATCAATATTAACAAAAACTAACTCTAACTCTAAGTCTATATTTTTTTACTTTTAAAAACACTTTTAAATTAACACTTACAATTTATAAATATATTTATATATGTGTATTTTTTGTGGATGATCTATTAAATGTTTAAATCTAAGAAAAAAATAATAAACATTTAACATTTAACATTCATCAAAAACACTTAATAAAATGGAGGGAAAAGATAACTTGGCATGTCCCTAGTGTGTCCCCGAACTGTCCCCAGCGTGTCCCCTAAAAATAAATTAATTAAGGGGACATGTCATGTGGAGTGTCCCATACGTGTCTCCAAAGTATCAATGTGTCCCCAAAGTGTCCGTGTGTCCAACACGGATATAGTACTTTTTTTGAAGTGTCGGTGCTTCATAGTTGAGGATTCAACACCAAACAGGCAAATCCAATATGAGGGTGGGCGTTGAAGATTCACAAGTGATTCTATATCAATCGGGCATGGATTCGTTAAGAGATTGTTTGGGTGAGATACCTTTGTGGAATCTTCTTTCCCTCTTAGTGGATTTGTTGTTTAACCTTGTGGCTCATGCTTTTTTGTAATCACCATTGGAGGATTTCAATTGTGATTTTTTTCCACGTTAAAATCGCTCGTGTTCAATTGTTGATTGTTGAAATTGAATCTAAATCATTTCTCCTTTAAATTGATTTAGATCATTTTTTGTTGTTTGAGAATTGTTATTATCATCCTCTTATTTGTCATTGGAATTGAAACATGATTACAACTTACAATCTCGGGACTTTGATTTTTTCTGTTAAATTTTGTTTTTTATTGGATATGAACTTTGTTCCACATCTTTCTTTCTTCTAACCCG